TGTCAAATAATTATCGATTATGGAACAAAAATAAAAGAAGAATAATCATCAGCTGTGATGTAAACTTTAACGAAGAAGAGTTTGAAGGAATCAATGAAGAAAATAATAACGTTTTGAATTTTCCTCTCCATGACCAACTTGATGAAAATGTGGTTCCTGAAATCAATGACGAAGAAAATGATCTAGAGACATCTACTTTTGTACTGTGTTGTTCTTTATCATTTATCAATATACTTTAATTCATACATTGAGTGTGTCCACTTTATTTCACCAACACTTTCTTATGCAAAATGAAACTTCCGATACAAAGGCGTATATTTATAACCAGCTTACATAAATAGAGTTTAATAAATACGGCGCATGCTAGTAAAACTAACTAAAAAGGAACATCATCGCTTTTCGATCCATGCTGCAGCCTGCAAAATCTAGAGAAAATCACTGAAAACATACTTGTTCCAGCCCCGCTGAATCAACGCCAACCACGTCGACCACGTTGCTTAGTAGAAGAACAAGTATGATTTTTGGCAACAGAAAACTAAAAATTGCCAGCATAACAGTCCTAGAGAACGGTGGCTTGAAATCACAGATATTGCCAACAACCCCACCTCGTTCTACACTTTTCCCTATCATTTTCCCGCAGGATTTCCATTGTAGTAACTCAGAGCCGCATCGAGTGCTGCTTTGGCAAAGCCACTGGTGCAGGGGCTGCTGCCCCAAAACGGCCCCGGGCAGCCTCTTTGCTCAAAGCAGTTTTGAGGAGGCGAGTTGGGGTCTGCACTCGAACAGCAGGAAACAATCGCCCAGACGCAGTTGCTTGGTCCTGCTGGCTGCGGTTGGGCGCTTCCCGAAACCCGTTGATTTCCCGTGGCCTCCTCCTCATTTGAGTCCAGCCCGTGCAGGAGTGGAGGGCGGTTTGGCGCGGCACTGGGAGGTCTGGTCGGCACCACTGCGTACTCCTTGTTGCCTGCGACAAAACACTTTTTAGCTGGTGTCCCAAAACACTCCAAAGGAAAATTACCGCCATTGGCCTGGGACGGGCCGACCACCCCCCAAATGGGAGCATCGTCGTCCTCATTGAATCCCCCCAGCCGATCAGCCAAAGGGTTTTGAGTGGTGGCGGGGGGCAGATACGAGGGGCCTTGATACGAAGGCCTGGCAGGATTATCTACGGGGGTGCCAGCGTTGATGTACACAGGCTGGGGAGGGTAGAAGATGAGGTTTCCTCCCGCCACTCCATAGACGGGGATGTAGTAGGGGCGGGCAAGGGYGTAGGGAGCAGGCTTGAAAGCCTGCAAAAGATTTTTYGTTTTCTCCACGTCARTTTTCAGCCGGAATTGGCGTGCCAGCAAACACAATGCATTTTTTTCGCTGACAAGCACAAGAGTGATTAGCAAATAAATTGACTATAGAAATCGAGCAATTTTGCTTAAAGCGCGTGTTTTTTCTGCTTCAAGCAATTATCATGTGCCATTGTTTGCCAAGTGAACTTTATTGTTTATCGAGTGGATTGCGTCTTCAGTCAAGGGCGATCAAGGTAAATGTTTGAGTGGGCAAAAAATGGGTTTTGGCCATTCAGCGCTGGTCGCGTTGCCGATGTTCTTCGTGTTTGTTTGGGTTGGAAAATCGTCTCTAACAGGTGGTTTTTGTCGTTTTAAACGAAAAATCAACGACTTTTTATTGTTCTGGTCCGAAAGTCGGCCAACGACTCTACCTCTAAAAAAATTGCAAAATAAACAGGTCCATCAGGATTTTCTTCCAAGTTAAATAGCCAGTTGTATGTACAATTTGCTGCACCAAATTTTCACAAGTTCACTTCATTTAATGGATGAATTTAATAATTCCACAGGGAACAATTTTGGGGCCCATTTTGTTTATAACCTATATTATTCTCTGCTGGGGTTGAACATGAATGGCAAGATTGTATCCTATGCTGATGACACAGCATTGATCTTTTCAGGGGTTTCGTG